GATGCTCTTAGGCTGTGACTAGATGGCCAAATACAACCCAGTTTCCTTCAGTTACAGTCCTGGACAACTACTTACTACTCCTGTCATCTTAGGATAAACTAACTCCAGTTACAATCCCTGCTCATGACACACTTTCAGCGGCCGGCGTGCAGTTCAGTGCTGAGTGCCAAAGTGCACGCTCCATCGCTGCCGTCGCGGTGAAAACCGAAGGACGACGGATCAACTCAAGAACTCGTCATTGTTCGACACCTGAGGGAGGGATCACACGAAAGGGGCAAAGCATGTACTCCTCCCACTAGGCTCCAGCTCAAGTGCGGGTGCCGCGGCCCATGCCCAATCCCACTCCCACTGTGGCCGTGTGTCATTTCCAAGGAAAGCAGCAGAAATTTTATTCTGTCCAAACCGAACCGCATATGTCCATGTCATTTCCAAGGCAAAAGCAGCAGGTGCGCCACTGCCACTGCCGTCGCCGCAAGATAGTGGTGGGAGCAGCAGCAGCAGCAGCAAGCGACAGATACGGGGGCTGCGGGGGGATTGGATTGGGCGTCGACAAAACCAGGCGAGAATTATCAAAAGCGTGCCCAAATCCAGAGAGGGATCAAATCGGCCGTATCCTAGAGTGGAAAGAACATATGCTTAACGAGAATCCACCGGGGGTTTAGACTAGATTAGATTAGATTAGATTAGATTAGGGCAAAGCGCCGGGCAGCCAGTAGGCCACGCCCGGCTTTTGTGATCATGTGCCTATGCAGTGTTTCAAAGACAAGATATGTAAAGGAAAGCAGCAGCGGAGGCAGGGCCCATGGAATTAGTGATAACAAAGCTTGGGCTTCAAGAGGCATGCATGTACCTGGACAAGGAAGCAAGCAAGCTCAAGCTTTTGATAGGGCCTGGATGGATGGCCAAATGATGGGCTCTGATGATACTTTGGTATTTCTTAATGAGAAAAGCGGCTCAGATTTGTTAATGAAAAGCTAAAAGAGATCTTGCACAGTATATGAGAACATTATGGCCATGAATAAACAGTAGCACAGCACACAAGATTAACAGGGCATCCAATAGCAAACTTGGCTTTCTCTAGCGCAAGATAAATGCTGAGATGGCAAGCTTAGCTGATGTGATGTCTAGAGTCGGACATACTCCCTCTATTTCATAACGTAGTGCAATCGGGCCTTTTAGGATTTAATTTTAATCATAAATTTAACTAACACGGGCGACCGCCATGGAAGCATAACAGACGCCTTTGAATTCGTATTCGAAAGAAGTTTTCAAAGATATACTTTTTCAGTTAAACAATTTCTGTATTATCGGTCTAATAATTTATGGTGGAAGTTAAATTTAAAAACGTGGACGCACTACATTATGAAATGAAAGAGGCGCTATATACAAATTAAACAAGAGGGGTAGTACTACTATATCACTTGCATGATTCTGATTCCATGTGAGATGTTATGTTTTTTTACAGTTGATCTTTCGAGTTATAGTAGCTGAGACAGGCCCGGCCCATCACCCATGTGTGGTAACAGTGGTCATTGCATGACCTACAACAACACATTGAAAGAACAATTACGCTCCCCATCCACCACCACCAGCGGCTGACACGCCCAAGAAGGGAGGCAAACAGTGATGCTTTTTAAAACGTGAGCAGTAGTCACTGCAGTCTCTGCAGGCCAAAGTACGTCCTCCCTAGCCCCTAGTTACAGCGCTCACTGCCGCGGCCGGATTCCCTCCCGGGAAAAACAACGTGCATGGCGCCACCCCCGCCCACGGCCGATACGCTGCCGGCCTGCTGCCCTGCCCACCACCAATCACCAGCCAACACAGCACACCTATAGAATCATCGCGCCAGGCACATATACACAGACCCGATTCTACTGCTGCGAAGCCGGACAGAACCAGCGCGGTTAACCATGCGGCGGCAGGTACTATTACCGTGCATGGGCTTAATATAATACTCCTACTACTAGTGATAATACAGTATGATAGAATACTCCTACACAGCACGACACTGACAGCGCAGCCAGGATCCGTCATCATGGCCATGCCATGCCATTTGGGGCACTGTGGCGGTTGTTTAGTGCGCAGATCCGTGATCGAAAGGGTAGGCCGAATCTACCGCTGCTAGCCCCGATGATAGACAATTTGCTAGCGTGACTGGGCCAATTAGGGGTCAACAGGCGTCCAAATCGTGGGCTGTCCAGACTTTAGGAGGCTACCCCCATCGATGGATACAGCGGATAACGGAAACGACGGCGTGATTAGTATTAATAATATAACCGCACATCAAAAGACTAACTAACGCAGCGGGTTTCGTTCATATCATATGGCATCGAAAGGCTAACGTAACTGGCGGGAGGATGGTCATATTCTACAGAGACCGGTTGAAAGCTTCAGCTGCGGCACAGTAATGGTAAAACTAGAACTTTTGGGCATGAACAAGGAGCTGCAGTACAGTGATGGTAAAACTTTTGGCCATAAACAAGGAGCTGCAGTACAGTAGTAATACTGGTGGTAACTCTGCGATCTCGAACACTTTTGGGCATAAACAAGAGGTAACTTTTCCCTGGCCATGTGGGAACACATGCAAGCATTTCATTGATCACCACAGGTTAATCCAAAAGCTCCAGGACAAATGGCAGGAGACCATGAGGCCGTTTGGAACAAGGTGATTTTCAAGCTCTGTGTAGCCCACAGGGTGTTTGAATGTTGGACAGCCTTTTGAATTTTGGATCTTAGTACATGGGAGAGGGCACGTCAATGTTTCATCCGCCCTCCGAAGGAATCGACCGTGCTCATGTCGACCGATCATGGAGCCGAGCCGCCAAGTGATTGTGATGATTGACTTACTATATACCATCCTAGCATACTAGTAGTGCGTGCGTGCGTACATTACAACAAATGTGCATCAGCGGGGAGCGAGCTGGGCTGAGCACCGGCAGCGGCGATCAGCCGACGAAATCGTGGAGCAGGTGGCCGCCGATCTCCTTGGCGAAGTGCCGGTCCTGGCCGCCGCCGAACGAGCCCATCACGTAGGGGTCGCTCACCACGTCCTCCAGCCCGAACCGGTGCGCGAGGTTGGCCGGCAGCGGCTCCCCGAAGCAGACCCTGTTGTTCTGGTGGAGGCCGAGGGTGAGCGACACGCCGCCGCCGCCGCCGCCAGCATTCCCCGCCCCGCCGACGCCGACGTGATGGTGGTGGTGGTGCTGCGGCGACGCCATGCCGCCGTGCTGCTGCTGCTGGTGGTGGGAGGGCAGCGCGCCGTAGCCGGCGAAGGTCACCTGGCCCTGCTGCATGGAGTGGGACATCTGGGAGAGGTCGTCCGGGAAGCCACCGCCGTGGGAGGAGGCGGCGGCGGCGGCGTTGTGGTGGTGGTGGTGGTTCCTGGTGACGCCGCTGCTCTGGCCGGGGTGCGAGTCGCAGGGCTCGGACCGCTTGCCGCTGCGCTGCTGCTGCTGCTGCTGCGACGAGTGCTGGTGAGCCTGGCCGTGGGCGCCGTGCTGCTGGCCCTTGTCGTGCGGCGAGTGCTTGTGGACCTGCCTCATCTCCAGGTTGTGGATCTCCTCCACCATTGGCTTCCAGAGCCTCACCCTCGCGTTGATGAACCAGTTCGACACCTGCACCACCATTATTAACCCAACATGTCAACCAAGCTCCAGAAACAAAATGACATGCTAGTGGCGACAGTGACCAGCTTTGCTGTTCACCTGATTCCTTGTTAGGCCCGTCTGCTTGGCCAGCATTTGCTTGTCGCCGTCAGTAGGATACCTGCAAGGTTTCATCCAAAATATCAGACTAATGCAGCATGCAGTACTCTTGATTGTGACACATTCAAAAGGGAAATGGGTATAAAGATCATAAAGATGTTCGGCATGCAACTATTATATGAGATTGCCCAGTGTGAACAGAAAATGAGTGCAAAACAAGCCAGATTAGGATGCCGGTGCCTGTCATGCTTCTCTTTATTCAGTCTTAACATGCATAAGTCCGAGCAGCATATCCCCAAAATAAAGGCTTTGGTGGTCTTAGAGAATTTCTTTTATCAGTCTAGCACCATCCATGCACACCACTTTTTTAAGAGTAGGTTAAAATCTAAGCACTGATTGATGTGGGATCTAACAATTATATTTGATTGCCCAGTGTGAATAGAAAAGGGGTCCTAGAAACAAGCCAGGTAGCGTTAGATCAGGGGATCAAACAAAATTCTTGTGCTAGGATGCCTGTCATGGTTCTTTTATTATTCAGCTTAAACATTCATAACCCCAAGCGACATACCAAAAATAAAGGTTTCATCTTAAAGATTGTTTCTAATCGGTCTAGCACCATCCAAGTAGGCCTTTTTGTAAAGAAGAGCAAGTTAAATCTAAGCACTGATTTGGTGTGGGATCACACGAAAAGGACATGAATTGACAATTATCAACCTTTTCTTTCTAGAGGTTTGAAATATTGACAGCAATAATGAAGAAAGGGTACTACTCAATATATAATACCAAATCCAGTTGGAAATGGAAAGATCTGGCATTATAAAGTTATAATGAACAACAACTGAATATGCTAACATTGCACCAATCAACCTGATGTAACCACCAGGTCATACATCATGGAAAAACCAGATATCTGGCATTATAAAGTTATAATGAACACCGACTGAATATGCTAACATTGCACCAATCAACCCTGATGTAACCACCAGGTCATACATCATGGAAAAACCAGATTGTAGTACAAAAGATGGATGTAATAGGCAAAACAACCAAAATAATGATGATGTTTCATCTTCCTATGGGTAGGTGCGCCCCTAAAACTGGATTAGAAGTAATCTCACTCACAAGTTGTTTCGCAATCAGTGTATAACAAAACAAGCAACATATACAACTAATTGAACGCCCTAACCAAATCCATAAAGCCACTCACCTAATGATAGTTAGAAAGTCATGTAATGTCTGAATCTAAGAAAAGATGCAAAATGGAGGACCCGGACTGTTAGCAAATTGATGATGTGCACAGCTCAAAATACACAAAGTCCTAAAAGCTGTGACGGATAGTCTTATTAGCTGCAATCCAATAGAATGATTTGGAAGCCAAGCCAAGCCAAGGCATGCCATGCCATGACACTTCATCGCTCATGCTCGGCCATCCTAATGATTTCGACACCGAGGACTGCTTGCTATCAGCTAAAACAACTAGAGGTCCAGGCCCAGCATAATCATGTTGATGTAGCGCCATCATGCAAAGACACATTATTATCTTGGAAAGGCGCAGAGTACGTCGTCTAGTGCTAATGCCAATTACCATAAGCAGATAGTAATAAAACAACTTACGGGTGCAGGAAGTGCTCGAAGAGCCAACCCCGGAGGACCGTCACGGAGCGCTCCGGGAGGCCCCTCTGGGGGCGCCAGATGTTGTGCGGCTGGCCGAAGCCGTTCACGCTGCCGCCCCTCTGGAAGCCGCCGACGGGGGCGCCGCCGCCGCCGAGGCCGAAGATGGTGATGTCCTTGCTCATGCCTTCCTTGACGGGCATCTTGCTGGTGTTGCGCAGCTGGCTGAGGATCATGCCCTTGATGCACCTGAAGTGCCTGGCCATCACCCTCAGCGCCAGCGCCGTGAACGGGGCGGCGTTGCTGAACCCGGCCACGCTCTCGAACGAGGCGATCACGGCCTGCACCTGCTGGTAGTACTGCCGGTACCTCTTGCACACCTACGATGAGAGAGGTTCATTGTAGCTGGATTAGTAGGTACGGTGCTTGATTAGAGATAAGCAGCTGCTACTCATGACGTCTAAGAAGATGGGAAAGATTTTCTTTGCCGTTTGCCGGGAGCTAGCTTTGGATTTCATGTGGATGTGACATGAACAAAGCAAAGCCTACTTCCCAACTATAGAAGTAAGACGCCATTAATAAAGAGGTCAGACAAGCAAGTTCGCCTACTGCGACCGAGGCTGAGAGTGAGAGCTCCATAAATGGAAGCTTTCTACATCGTACGTAGATTCCCATGTTATGTATTGCCCCAGAGGCTGGAAGAGGACGCTGCGAGAGGGTCAAGCACTCCTATCCTAACCATGTGAGAGATGAAACAACACGGTTTTCTTGACATGACAGGCCAAAGTTTTGCTACTAGTTTCCAGCATCACCTACCGTCCCAAAGCGTCCGAGGACGCTGCTAATCAGTTGAGGTTTCATGTAGCAGATGATATTTGCAAAAGGTGTGCTTAGTGCGGCGAAACTAATCAACATCCAATCTTTGATCCTCTGATGAGAAAAAAGGCGAGCAGCAAATTGTTGGGCGTCCAACAGTGCGGCACTGTGGAGAAAGGAGAAAAGGAAAATCCGAGCAAATGTAACAGCAGCCATGGAAATGATCATCAAATCAAAAGCACATGCAACCGCGGAAGCACAGTGAATAAAAGCAGGCAAAGCCACGGCCGCATCGCTAGTGATGTGACCGCCGTGTGCAAGATTCCTCGCGCTCCCGGCCGGGAGCCAGCCGGAGAATTGCAGTGGCGGCGTCGAAGCGAAAGAGGCGGAAAAAGTTGGGAATTTGGAGCGAGCGGCGTCGTGGCTCACCTCTTCCATCATGGAGATGAGCCGAGTCTTCTTCCACTGCTGCTCGGCGCCGGACATGGGGCCGGAGGTGTCCAGCTCGTGGCCGGCCGCGTCGTCGGCGCCGTCCATGGCGTCCGCGTCGAGCAGGCCCTCGTCCGGGACGCTGTGGTCGACGTGCGCGGCCGCGCCTCCCACGTCGCAGATCTCCTCGAGCAGCTTCTGCGCCGGGCCGAGGAACCTGGATCGCCCGAGCACCGTGGCGTAGCCGGTGAAGGGCCCGTACGGCCCCGCGGCCGGCGCGGCGGCTCCTGGCTCCTGCTTCCTGGGCGCCGGGGGCGTGGTGGCGGGGTTGGAGGAGGCGGAGGAGAGGGAGAGCGAGAAGTTCTGCGTGGGGATCTGCGGGAACTGCTGCGCGGTGAGCCCGTTGAGAACCAGCTGCTGGCCCTGCGGCATCGTCGGGCTGTGCGGCGAGTAGGAGGAGGAGGAGGACGCGTAGGAGTAGAAGGCCGGAGGCGGCCACGCCCCGGCCTGGTGCTGCTGCTGCTGGTGGTGGTGGTGGTGGGCAAGAGGGGTCGGGGGCGAGTCGTCCGCGGCGGCGTCCGGCGGGAAGCGGAGCTTCTCGCGCCGGCTGTGCTGCGGCACGTGGTAGAGCTGCCCGCCCGACGCCGCGGCGGCCGCGGCCGCCATGTGGTGTGCATGGTTATGAAGCAGCATGTGGCCGTTGTGCTGCGGCTGGTGGTGGTGGGCCTCGGCGCCGCCGCCGTACCCGCCGGCGGGAGACGACATGGCGAGCGCCCGCACGTACGCACGTACGCGGTGGGTGGCGGGCAGCGAGGTAGAGCAGGAGCTGGGCTGGGGCTGGGTGGGGTGTGGCCCTGGAGAGAGTGGAGGTGGAGGGGAAACGGCTCCGCACTTTCCGAGCGCCGGGCCTGGCTGGCTGGCCTGGTGCTGGTGGTATCTCCCTCTGTCTCCGCTGCTGTAGCCTTCCCTTCCTCCCTCCCTCGCGCCTTTTATCTCTCTCTCGCTCGCTGGCTCTCTTTTCTTGTCGTGCTCAGCTCAGCTCGGCTGCTGGTGTTGGTGTGGGTTCGGGCCGGGGCGCCTTTCTTTCTGCAAAGGCAGGCGAGGGGAGGAGAGCGAGGCGGTGAAAGGGAGGGCGAGGGGAGGGGGAAGTGGTAATAAGCTGAGAAAGCGAAAGCGAGCGAGATGAAATGGAGAATGGAGGGAGCGAAAGAGCACGATGGGCGAGTGAAAGAGGACTGCTGTTTGCTGTGGTCCAAGCTGACGCTGGCCGTGCGTGCGTGCGTGCGTGCGTGCGTCCTGCCCCTGCCACGGCTTAATTGGCTTGCCCCGGGAACTAGATGCCAGAATCGAGTCTGGTTTTACCACACTCTTTTTACTTCTTTTGACGGTGGAGATTTTATGTCGACAAGTAAGCCATCTTCAACGTGACAGTCTAGACCGCGCGGTCCAAACGTGTTTTGTCATTCAACGGGGTTTATATCCTTCCGTTTGGCTGTTCGGATGTCCTTTTTCTCGTAAACCGAAAACAAACTGAGGGAGATGGCTTTGCGGGCGTTCGGACCACTGCCATGTATGACTCCAACAACCATGGCCTATCGAAACCCTTCTCCCTCGGACGCGCCCTTTCTCGCCCGAAGAAATCAGCCCGCATTCATGCCGCTTTAGAGTGGCCGCTTCGCATTGACATCGGCCCAGAGCGGATATGACCTGTCACTGGCGCTATCATTGCACGAGCTCGCGGACTAGGACGACACCCGCACTTCCTCCCCGGTACGCCTGTTCAGTGCCGGGGAGGCCTTATTGGACGGGGCGGGACATATATCTACCCCGCATGTTCAATGCCAGTCCGTCTCTTTGTCGCCATTAAACATGTACGCTAGCCGAGAAACCAACTATCACGCCCTCGCATTGACACACCCGAACGCTTGGCATCGCTGACATCCACTATTTACATGTGACCACTCCCGGCTTAAACCACATCACACCAAGTCTGCTCTACATCCTCCTCCCGTGCACTACGTCCGCCATGACCGCGAGCGGGAACTCGTTGTGGGAGAGCCTTTCGACGGAGCAGAAGCTCGAGGTGACCGCCCTTGCGGCTGCCTGTGGCAGGGCCGTGCCACACGAATAGAGGTCGGCATGCGGGGCAACTCACATGACTTATACCCCCGATATTTTATTATTGCATAATACCTACTGTATTGTAACTTCTCCATGACTTACACCCCCGATATAATCCATAACATCATTAAAACAAGCAAACTACGTAATGAAAACATAATCTGTCAAAAACAGAACAGTTTGTAATGATCTGAACAAACGCAATACTTCTGTAACTCCAAAAATTCTAAAACATTAGGACAACGTGGGTGATTTGTATATAATTCATATATAAACAATTTAGAATTTTATCATGTTACAGTGAATTTAAACAACTCTAATACTGGACGCAAAAGTTTATGTTTTTTCAAAGAATCAAGCCAACTATCAACCAAATCATCACAAATGCTTTACTTGACACAAATACAAACTAAAACATAAACAGACAAGCATAACAGTAGCATAATTGTGTGGACACAAAAAACATAAAAGAAAACAAGTTGGGTTGTCTTCCAACATGCTTTTTCTTTATTGTCATTAAGATAGGCTTTGAAATTTCATTGATGCTCGCATGAAAGACAAGAATTGAAGCACAAGGAGAGCATCATAAAACATGTGAAAAATACATTTAAGTCTAACGTACTTCCTATGCATAGGCATTTTATAAGAAAACAAGTTATAAGGGCAAGCAAAACCAAGCATAAGCAAGGAAGAAGAAAAAAGCAATAGCAATATCAACATGAAGAGAGGTAATTTAGTAAAATGAAGATTTCTAAAATCATATTTGTCTCTATCATAATAATTACATGGAGGATCACATTCAAATTCAACAATATGACTATCGTGTAAAACATTCTCTTTATGACACATATGCATGCCAATCTTATAGTCTTCCAAGATAGTGGGACTAACATCAACTAAAATCATGACCTCTCCAAACCCAATTTTATCAATAATTTCATAAGATTGAACACGCTCCAAATATGTGGGATTTTTTTTAAAGTTGACACTCTTCTAAACCCACTTTCACTAATATTGAGAACATTATTATCAATATCATATTCAACATGAGGCTTAAATAAATTTTCAAGATCATAAGAAGCATCACCCCAATCATGACCATTACAATAAGTAGTGGACATAAAAAATTCATCATCCTGATAACCCACAAGTATAGGCGATCGCAACAGTTTTCGAGGGTAGAGTATTCAACCCAAATTTATTGATTCGACACAAGGGGAGCCAAAGAATATTCTCAAGTATTAGCAGCTGAGTTGTCAATTCAACCACACCTGGAAACTTAATATCTGCAGCAACGTGTTTAGTAGCAAAGTAATATGATAGTAGTGGTAGCGGTAGCAAAAGGTAATGATAGCAAAAGTAATGTTTTTGGTATTTTGTAGTGATGATAACAATAGCAACGGAAAAGTAAATAAACAAATAACAATATATGGAAAGCTCGTAGGCAATGGATCGGTGATAGAGAATTATGCCGGATGCGGTTCATCATGTAATAGTCATAGCCTAGGGTGACACAGAACTAGCTCCAATTCATCAATGTAATGTAGGGATGTATTCCGAATATAGTCATACGTGCTTATGGAAAAGAACTTGCATGACATCTTTTGTCCTACCCTCCCGTGGCAGCGGGGTCCTAATGGAAACTAAGGGATATTAAGGCCTCATTTTAATAGAGTACCGGAACAAAGCATTAGCACATAGTTAATACATGAACTCCTCAAACTATGGTCATCACCGGTAAATATCCCGATTATTGTCACTTCGGGGTTAACGGATCATACCACATAATAGGTGACTATAGACTTGCAAGATAGGATCAAGAACTCTCATATATTGATGAAAACACAATAGGTTCAGATCTGAAATCATGGCACTCGGGCCCTAGTGACAAGCATTAAGCATAGCAAAGTCATAGCAACATCAATATCAGAACATAGTGGATACTAGGGATCAAACCCTAACAAAACTAACTCGATTACATGATAAATCTCATCCAACCCATCACCGTCCAGCAAGCCTATGATGGAATTACTCACGCACGGCGGTGAGCATCATGAAATTGGTGATGGAGGATGGTTGATGATGACGATGGCGACGGATTCCCCTCTCCGGAGCCCCGAACGGACTCCAGATCAGCCCTCCCGAGAGGTTTTAGGGCTTGGCGGCCGCTCCGTATCGTAAAACGCGATGAATTCTTCGCTCTCATTTTTTTCTCACCGAAACCAAATATATAGAGTTGGAGTTGAGGTCGGAGGAGCTCCAGGGGGTCCATGAGGTAGGGGGGCAGGCGTGCCCCCCACCCTCGTGGACAGGTGGTGGGCCCCTGGCCTTCATATTTTGCAAGGATTTTTTATTATTCCTGAAAAGATGTTCCGTGAAGTTTCAGGTCATTCCGAGAACTTTTGTTTCTGCACATAAATAACACCATAGCAATTCTGCTGAAAACAGCGTCAGTCCGGGTTAGTTCCATTCAAATCATGCAAGTTAGAGTCCAAAACAAGGGCAAAAGTGTTTGGAAAAGTAGATACGACGGAGACGTATCAACTCCCCCAAGCTTAAACCTTTGCTTGTCCTCAAGCAATTCAGTTGATAAACTGAAAGTGATAAAGAAAAACTTTTACAAACTCTGTTTGCTCTTGTTGTTGTAAATATGTAAAGCTAGCATTCAAGTTTTCAACAAAGATTATGACTAACCACATTCACAATAACGCATAGGTCTCATGTTTACTCATATCAATGGCATAATCAACTAGTGAGCAATAATAATAAATCTCGGATGACAACACTTTTTCAAAACAATCATAATATGATATAACAAGATGGTATCTCGCTAGCCCTTTCTGAGACCGCAAAACATAAATGCAGAGCACCTTTAAAGATCAAGGCCTGACTAGACATTGTAATTCATGGTAAAAGAGATCCAGTCAAGTCATACTCAATGTAAACTAACAGTAATGAATGCAAATGACAGCGGTGCTCTCCAACCGGTGCTTTTTAATAAGAGGATGATGACTCAACATGAAAGTAAATAGATAGGCCCTTCACAGAGGGAAGCAGGGATTTGTAGAGGTGTCAGAGCTCGGTTTTGAAATAGAGATGAATAATATTTTGAGCGGTATACTTTCATTGTCAACATAACAACCAAGAGATGGCAATATCTTCCAAGCTACACACATTATAGGTGGTTCCCAAACAGAATGGTAAAGTTTATACTCCCCCTTCCACCAACAAGCATCAATCCATGGCTTGCTCGAAACAACGACTGCCTCCAACTAACAAGAGTCCCAGGGGGAATTTTGTTTGCAATTATTTTGATTTAGTTTGCATAAAGCATGGGACTGGGCATACCGGTGACCAGCCACTTTCTCGTGAGTGAGGAGCGGAGTCCACTCCTCTTGAGAATAACCCGCCTAACATGGAAGATACGGACGGACCTAGTTGATACATGAGCTATTCGAGCATACAAATAGGATATTTATTTGAAGGTTTATAGTTTGGCACATACAAATTTACTTGGAACGGCAGGTAGATACCGTATATAGGTAGGTATGGTGGACTCATATGGAATAACTTTGGGGTTTATGGAGTTGGATGCACAAGCAGTATTCCCGCTTAGTACAGGTGAAGGCTAGCAAAAGATTGGG